CATCGTAGACCTCATTTCTCGGGACCGTTTCTCAGTCCACAAGGCAGTCGAGAGGGGGCTGATTGACAGGACCTACATGCAGAGACTGCTCAATGCCCAGAAAGCTTTCACGGGGATTGAGGACCCTGTGACCAAGCGAAGGCTGTCCGTGGGGGAAGCAGTGCAGAAGGGATGGATGACCAAGGACAGTGCTTTCCCCTACCTGGAGGTCCAGCATCTAACTGGAGGGCTCATCGATCCCAAGAAAACTGGTCGCATCCCTGTGCTGGAAGCTGCCCAGACGGGGATGATAACAGCCGACCTGGCCAACAGGCTCCAGGATGAGTCCAACTATGAAAAAGATCTCATTGACCCCGTCACTAAAGAGAAGATAAATTACAAGGAGGCCATGGCTCTCTGCCAGAAGGATTTGCTGAGCAGCCTCCTGCTGCTCCCAGCCGCGTCCGAGGGCTACCAGCGCTTCCACCAAGCGAGCCGTTCCCCAAAGCTCTCCCGGTTCAGGCACTGATGGGTTCAGGCTGGATCTGGTTCCTTCCGGAGTTCATCCCTTCAAAACACTTCTCCCCGTGGAGGCAGCAGCAGTCACAGGAACGGAGCATCTACCATTTAGAGCTGCATACTCTTCTCTCTTTCCTATCTCTGCTTCCTGACGCAGCTTGGCCGTGCGAGGAAGAAAGCACGATTGTGAGTGTGTACGGGCCTGACGCAGGCGTCCCCGCAGTCCCCCGGTGCTCCTGTGACAGCAAAGGCGGGGTGATGGCGAGAACTCCACTGGCAGCATGTAAAATGTGGTTATGCCCCGGAAGGGGGGGAGAGCTGTAGTGTTTTCCAGTTGGGTCATTCTTCTGCATGCAATAAACATAGAAAGTGCATCTCTGGCTGTGTTGTCTCTGCAGGCCGAGGCCGCAAAGGGGCCGAAGGTAGGGCTAGTCCTCCCCTCATGCAATCCTAGCCCCAATCCAAACCAAAACCCTGTTGAAGTAGGTGATTTTGGGGGCTTGTCCTGAACCTGTATGGAGGCAGATGCGTTGCAAGGGAAGGGATGACCTTCAGTAGCAGATGCAGCCCGTGGCCTTGGCTGCAGGAGCCACCCAGCAGTGCCTGAAAGTCTGCACTCGCTATTTCTTCTGGAAAGTTTTCCCTCTGTGTCACTCCCAGTGCTCTGCCCTTGGTGAAACGAGCAAGTCCTAACTCCCATGTGTCCCTGTTGAGACGAGAGACGAAAGGTTCTTCCCTAGTTCCTACCCTGTTGAGAGTCCCCTGGCTTTGTGGGATGAGAAAAATGACTTTCCATTGACATGAGATGCTCTTTCCCCTCTCTCAAGGGCTTTTTTAGCTGCTGCTGCTTGGGAAATCCAGCACCCCCAAAATAATCTGTCAGGGTAGAGGTTTTCTCACCCTCTCTCCCACCAAACCAGCAGCATAGCCTCTACTTCCAAACAGCCTAGCTGGCATTTGAAGACTGGGCTCCAAGGAGGAATTCTTCCCATGCTGGCAGGCTCAGCACAGTCACCGGTCCCGTTACCTTCCTGCTGGTAGGTAATGCTCCGCACTAACGATCTCAGACCAGCTATGGAAACACCCAGATTCCAGTCCAAGCTCTGCCCAGGCTCTGCAGGGGCTGTGTTTATTGCCAGGCCCATGGCTGGTGGCTGTGGCTGTCTTGGCTGCCACGATCGATACGGGGCAATTTGTTGGTTTACAGTGGGGAAAACTCTTCCACACACCCTGGAGCACCCGTTCCCAGCCTGGCTCCTCCTTAGAGCGCCGCTGGTACACGGGGCGCTCTGCACGCAGCACTGTGGGCTGGTGCTGGGCTGTGATGGACCCGGGGAGAAACCGTGGCTTGACCTCCTGCCAGGGCAAGCCCGACAGCCCTTGGAGCACAGCCAAGTGAGGATCCCATCCCAGTGCAGCCAAGGAGCCCGGGACTGGTGCGGTTCCCAGCAGTCCTCGGGACTCTGCAGAGCTGCTGGCAGCAGCCTTGCTGTGCTTTGCTCCCCTCGGCAGGCCGAAAGCAGACGGGGATCTGTCAGCAACGGGGGCTGTTGCCTCTTCTGCAGCTTGGCTCCGCCAACAGGTGAGTTTGCTGCGAGGCTCCTCCTCGCCCCACTCCGTGGGGCAAGGTACTGGGCTCTAGGGCTGCCTTCGTCAAGGCTGATCCCCTGGTACATGAGACAAAACCGTGCTTGTTTGTAAAGCATGATGTTCTCGTGGAGACTGCGCTGCATTGCCGATTAAATCGCTCTGGGGAATGCTCTTTAAGGGCCTCGGGGTTCTGGTAGTCCGGTCATGATTTTGGGTAAAGCGCTCCCTAAATGTGCGGTGGGCAACCTTTACCTAGGGCTGGATGAAGGCGTTAAGAGACAGTGAGCCCACGGAGCAGTCTGGCTGGCAGAGCAGTGTCCCTGGACGGCTGCCCTGCCTTTCGTTTCTGCAAAAGAAACCCCACTAAACCCCCTTCTCTTTGCTGTCAAGTGGTGCTCAGCAGCAGAAAGCAGTGCAGGTTGTGTCCTCCTGATATGTCCGTGGGAGACGCTCCTCAGCCGTGGGGCTTCCCAGGGCCTGGCACGGTGGGAGTTGCTCAGGAGGAGCCAGGTAGCGCTTCCCTCCATCCCCCCAAGCGATGGAGCTGCCTCCTCGTGGCTTTCCCAGCTGCCCTGACCTCGACATCGCTGTCGTTGGTTCTTTGCCGGTGGCAGGGTTGGGTCATAAATGTTTGAAATTCAGCCTATTGCTTCATTTTTGTCAGGCTAGATGAGCTGTAGCACCTTTGTTTATGGTTTTTTTTGGACTGGATGAATGTGCAAATTCACCTGCGTCTCACGGATGTGAGCTGGGTGTTGTCAGAGGCCGCGAGGTGCTGCAGGAGCACGGCTGGGCTGCGATTTTCCTGCCCCGTTGGCTCTCCAGGCTGCTGCGCGAGCCCAGCTCCCCGCTCCATCCCAAAACCAGCCCTCCCAAACACAAGCGGGTCGGCTTTTCCCGGGCAGCCACTCCGGCGTGACTCTGAACAACAGTTTTGACAGCGAAGCATCTGCCCCCCACCCGCCCCCGAAAGACCTAATTTGTGCAAGTTGCAGAGGCGAGCGAGCTCCCCGGGTCGTGGCGGCTCCTAAACGTGCAGGGAAAGTGCAGCCGGGCAGAGCTCGGGGTGAGGTGAAGCATCATGTCCCAGGGTTCTGCTGTCAGGACCTGTTGGGAGGTGCGGCTGCTACAGGAGGGGTGACAGCAGTCCTGCTGTCGGGAATGAAGCAGTCACCCGCTGCTGGGTGGGGAGAAGGAACGGTTGATGGAGGAAGCCGAAAGTCAGCAGAGTTTGGCTCTAGGCAGGCAGGTCTTGGGCTGAGAGGGGTCATTTCAGGGGGGGCTCTCTCCCCTGCGCAAATTCTCTCCTTTACAGCATCGTTTATCTGCCATGAAACTCCAGGAACGCGGTAGCTTTCGGGAGCTGTCAGCTTGTGCTGAAATCATTCAGGATCATGGTTGTGAGGAGTCCACGTGCATGAATCATAGAATCATGGAATGGTTTGGGTTGGAAGGAACCTTAAAGATCATCCAGTTCCAACCCCCTGCCATGGGCAGGGACACCTTCCACTAGACCAGGTTGCTCCAAGCCTCATCCAGCCTGGCCTTGGACACTTCCAGGGATGGGGCATCCACAGCTTCTCTGGGCAACCTGTCCCAGTGCCTCAGCACCCTCTCCGGGAAGAACTTCTTCCTGATATCTCATCTAAACCTCCCCACTTTCAATTTAAACCCGTTCCCCCTTGTCCTGTCACTCCCTGCCCTTGTAAAAAGTCCCCCCCAGCTTCCTTGTAGCCCCCCCGCGCACTGGAAGGTGCCATAAGGTCTCCCTGGAGCCTCCTCTTCTCCAGGCTGAATGCAGCAGCTTGGCTTCCCAAAGTCAGGAATCCGATCTGGAGCATTTAGGTACGTAGAACACAGCTCTGACATGGTTTGTGGCAGGCTCTCATGGGGAGCAAGCCCATCTGACCACACTGAGGCAGCACCGGGCTGCAGAACCGTCAGCCCCTGTTCCACAGCACAGCGCTGCACCGGCCGAGGCTCTGGGCTGGAAAGGATAAAAAGAACTGGAGCGCAGGAGGTGAGGAAGGGGGAAGAGCTCTGTGTAAAAAGGACCAGGTACCGTTCTGCGTCACTAGCCCGGAGGGCTGTGCCAAACAATAAACACCGTGGTGTCTGAACAAATGACAAGCTTTTATTCCTTTTTTTTCCCCCCGTACTGAAAGGAAAAGATGTCAAAATCACACCAAAATTAATGACAGTTCTCCAAACATCTGAACAGCACAAACACGTCCAAGACAATGAAGGAAACAGCAGTACATCGGGACAGATGACGGAAAGCCAGCGTCCTTACTGCTCCCAGCCGTAAGCAACGCGCGCGCTACGCGAACCGGATTGTTTGGCTTCTGGGCCCCAGCTAAGGCACAAATTAAGACACTGGATAGTGCTCCTCAGCTTGAGCAAC